ACCTCTATACCTCCATCATATAGAGAGAGAGAGAGATAGAGTTGTGTATGATGAGAATGTAGAAATAGAAATTGGTAAATAATTGAAGAGATAGGAGAGAGAGACTTATTGAAGGAGGTGATGGATTGGTGTATGGTTTTGATCTTCTTGTGTGAGGAACACCAACAGCAACACTGGCCTCAGAGATGCAACCAGCAGAGAAAGGAAGAATCACAAGCCTTTCCATTCTTTGTCTCATTGTTCTTTCTTCGATCAATGCAACCTTTGATCTTAGATTTCACAACAACAATATATAGCCCTAGCTACCCTACTTCTTCTTATAATATAATAATGATTCACACACCTTAAATTCAATTTCCTCTCAACATGTTATCATTACGTATACAAAGTCAAGCTACATCTTATAAACAAATCCGTTTGGTGAATGAAAGTGACATACACACACATACGCAAGATTCATATATATATGTGTATATATGCATTTTCTTTACACTTTTTCTTTTAACCTAATATGTTGGGTTGCATCATATGCAATGTATTCCATTTCCATTCACTTTATGTGTCTCTAACGAACATCACCTTCAAAAAGTTGGTTTGGTTGAGTAGTGAATGACTAAAGCCAAATCAAACACTATGAACAAAATAAATATAATATCACATCATAATTTGCTCCTCGTAGACTCATTTTCTTCACTTACCTCTCTTCTACAATAAGTCATCGATTATATATCTTATTGTTTTATAGTTAGTTGTTTGTAGTGTATATTATTTTTTTGTTGCAAGAAAAATAAAAGGGCATTATCCATGTTTTTTATATTGCTTGTTTTGGACTCGATCTAGATGTAGTGATTCCCAGCGAAGCTCCGAATGAATCTTGAACTCGTGGCGATGGAGCCAAAATTGATATTTCTTGAAAACAAAGAAGAATGGCATCATTGATTGTAAGAATTGGAAAGTGGATTTGTTTGAAGGCAGGTTTGAGTTTGTCTCTCTTCACATACTAAATTTGATGTGAGTTCATTAACGGAAGCTTAGCAACTTAATGAAGCTTTAATCAATTCTTACTTAGGGATCAAATTATGTCACAACCTTCCCTACATTAAACATTGTTGAAGTTCCACTCATTTTCGAAATCACTTCAAAGTTTATTTAGTAAAATCGAAATATTAAACCTATCATACTCAATTATGAAGTTATCTAAATAATATAACAATTATACAAACTAGTGTTGTAAAAGTGGATTAGAACCTGTGAGCCAATCTCATCCACTATGGATTTTTACCGAGTTGGGTTAAAAAATAATTAAAATTTTGATACGGGTCAATTTAGAGTCCGGCTCACTAAGAACTTGACTCATTCGAGTTAAACCTATGGTGAGTCGGATTGACTCACAAATCCAACTAATTTTTATAATATATATTTTTTGTTAGGTTAGTCATTTAAAAAATATTAAATAATTATGTAATATAAAAAATCTACAAATCTATACTTAATAACTCAATTTTTATGTGGAAACAAATTTGAATCGCTACGAAGCTATTAAAAATTTTGTTAAGGAGATTTTGTGATATCTTTGTATGAATAAAATTTGTGATAATAAATATAATTTAAGACCTTGTCCATTTATTTAGATTTGAATTAAAAATATTTTGTTTTTTTAATTAAAAAAAAAATTATAATTAAGTAAGCCAGTAAGTCAATCTATTAACTTATCAACCTAGACCGGATTGGATTCAATTTTTTTTTATTCATTAATAAGTGAGTCGGATTAGGTTGGCTCACTAAGTGACTAACATATGATGGACTAAGTCGGATTGAGTTAGATAACCTATTGTTATTATTATTATAACACTAAATTTATTATATAATTTTAAATTCGTCCTGGTAGCGTATTAAAGGTCTTAGGCTTTGTAGAAAAGTCTACATGAAATAAATAACTAGGACAAACCTTAGATTTGAGATTTAGGTGTGAACTATGGGTGTTGCTCCCTCCACCACCCCATTCCTGTTTTACCCCTCTCTTTATTTTCCCATTCCTATTTTACCCTTAGTAAAATTTTAGGGTTAATATTTTTTAACCTCTACCCACTCCAATCCTCTACATGTATGCAGCGACAACTCTTCTTCCTCTTTATTGTTCGTTCCCTCATTGTTTCATTGTGCTCTTCTTCCTCTTTTTCACGTTCCACTTCTTCCTCTCATTCTTTAATTGTGATAGAATTGTGGTCTCAAAGTGTGGTGGACTTTCATTAGCTGGTGTGCTTAGTGAGAGATTGCAAGTGGTGGTGGAAGCAATTGATCAGCCGTGCCAAGATCGGTGTGTGGTGGTGGTGTGGTGCTTGAAGGATTCGTCGTGAAGGTGCATAATAAATCCTAAAAAAATAAACGTATAATCTTTAAACGGATGTGAGCATCCCTCAGCGGATGTCAACATCCGTTTAAGGGAAAACGGATGTCGATATCCGTTTTGGCTTAAACGGATGTTGACATGCGTTGACGGATGCTGACATCCGTTTAAAGTTACATGTTTATTTTCCAGTTTATTTTTATTAGTTTATTTTTATATATTAATTTTGGAGATATTTTAATAATGTAATTTATATGTTTTGATGTATTATTTTTTAATATATTTTTTATGTATTTTAATAATGTATTTTTGAATATCTTTATTGTTATTAGTTTATATTTATATTTTTTTTGTATTTTGCAGTTATATATAATTAGTTTTTTGTTTTAATGTTTTTGTATAATATATATTTTTTATATATGGTTTTTGTATTCTTTAACAATTTTATAATTATACAAAAAATTATTTATTAGTTTAATTATATGAAATATGTAATTTTATTATATTAATATTTTTGTAATTAAAACAAATGGATGTGGTGGAGTTTCGGGGGTGAGAATCTAAAAAGAGAGAGAAGGAGAGTTGGGAGGTGGGACTAAGTGAAAAGTAAAAATGGGTAGAAAGATAGGGTTTGAGTTTAAAGTAAATAAATAGGGTTAAAAGTAAAAAAAGTTATTTTTGTAATTAAATATTTTTTGCAGAAGGTTGGGGAGGTGGAGGGAGAAGTGGTGGTGGTGGAGGGAGCAACACCCGTGAGCTATTTAAGATGAAGTATAAGTTGTCAAAATGGGTAATCCGATTCGACTCGGCCCGGCCCACCACAGATTGGTCACTTAGTGAGTCAACCCAACCCGACTCACTTATTAGCAAGCTGAAAAAATTTGAACCCAACTCGATCCATCACGGGTTGATGGGTTAAACGTGTTGGCTCACTAGCTCATTTAATTATAAGTTCTTTAAAATAAAAAAAAATTTACAATTTTTTTAATTCAAATCTAAATAAACTTCACACTAAATGATGTTAAATTCCAGAGACAATTAAAAAAAAAGCATCATACAATCCAAGCGTAATCCAAAAACATGTGTAAAAAGACGAACAAATAAGTTTTTAATATTGATATTTTTTGTATCACTTGTTTATTTATAATATTAGAGTCTTGAATAGATAAATTTATAATATTTTTCACTATTGAAACATCTTCTTTATCACTATCTACAATATAATAAAAAAAATGCTAACTAATAATATTGAAACACAAAATAATAAATAATTAAATTAAATTAGGTGAGTTAGTGAGCCAACCTGGCTCACCACAGATTCAACGCGGTGACCTAGGTGTAACCGCATAAAAAAAGTTACATTTTTTTCCAACGTGACTAAAACCCGTGATAAGTCAGGTTAGCCCGCATGTTACAACTCATTTTTACATCACTAAGTTGACTTGTCTCATTTTTAACGGTACACATTTATTTTTAATGAAAAGTGTAACCTATTTTGTAATTCTCATTCAATAATTTAATCAAGTTAGTGTAAGAATTTAACAATTAAATTAAATAAGTGAGATCCGATAAAAAAAGTTAAATGACGTATTTTTTCCTTTTGCTTTTTAATCATTATTTAAATATATTATCAGGCACAAGTGTCTTTACATTAAACTTTTCTTTTTCTTCTATTTTCAAATAACTTTAAAATTCTACCTCTCTCTCTTCTCTCCTTTGCATCTCCCTTATTTCCTCTCAAAATCTCTGATTATTACGAGGTAATTTGCAGCAACATGAATCACTGAACAGATGAATGAAGACTATATGACAGGTTACACTGCACCACGTTCTAACCAAACGACAAACACTAGGTCTAACAAATTCATGTTCATGATAGTAACGAACATACTTATAGTTCACAAAGATAAAACTGTCACTGTGATGTGTAATCTTATTCTTATCTGTATCTGAACCAATAATAGTGTTCATTTTGTCTGTGATTGGTGTAAATCTGTTAAAAACAAATGATGCGTCCATACAGTATAACTGAGAATTAACTTACCCTGTAGCCTATAGGGGACAAAAAAGCATCAAGTGTCTCACCTATAATGACCACAACAACTTGCACAATAAAACACGATCAAGTCCTTTTCTACCATTGCATCTTTCCAATAAGATGTAATGTTGATTAGTAGAGAAGTTAAAGCATGCACAACCACACATCGATACAACCAATTACCCATATGATATATTTGTTTATTTGCCATCCAAAAGAGAGAGAAAATATCAGTGCTGTTTCTTCTGTTTGAAATCATTAATTATATTTGTTGGGTCTACGAAGGAAGTTTACTAAAGAGATATAAAAGATCTAAGTTCAATAACATAAGAGATCCACACCATTCTCTATTTAAAACTTTAAGACAATGAGTTAATGGATCTTCAACCTTATTTTTATAGAATTTAAATTCACACTTGGAAATCTAATAGTAGTAACTATTACATTTTCCATTTACTTAAACTGAATGTCTCGAATTCAACAACTGGTTCTGTCAGTTCTACTAGAAATTGCAATTTTTTTCGAACTGAACAACGGTTTTCAAGATTTTCTGATGTTTAGAACTAGATTGTGCATATATTACTATTGCAGAACAAATTGTTAAGCCACAGAGCATCAAAGAAATTCCAATTTGCAGAATTATCTATACAAAAAATATGCATTGTGATTTGCATGATTATAGCAGATATGAGAAGAGTGCAAGTAATAATTAAAGTGCTTAAAGTACTATTGGCCTACATAGAAGCTACGAAACCAGAAGCTAGATAACTAACGAATTGTGGCAGAGCTTCCTTGATGTACAAGACCTTGAGTATGAAGATTCAGAGTTAGGTGAGTGGTATGTGAGAATATGAAAAAGATAAGACATGATAGGTGAGTGGTATGTGAGAATATGAAAAAGATAAGACATGATAGGCAAGTTTAAAAGGGTTTACCTTTCAATCAAGTGCGCAATGAGGGTTGCTTAACATGCTGGATTGAACAACGCAGACAAAGGGGCTTAGATTCGGTCCCTGCTCATGGTCTTCCATTAGTAGGTCATCTGTAAGTATCAAGTTCTTGCTTAGGTTTGTACCATGCAGCCTCCCCTCCCTGCTAATTTTGTTCCTCCGAACAAACTTCAAAGATGATTATTGAGATGGATAAAGGTGGCAAATACAAGAGATCTAATGTACTAGTACATCAAACACTGAAGCCATTCCAATAATAATGATTTATTTTTGTCAGTGTGTGACATATAAAGCTAGTAACCGGGAGCTTTGGAAGTTCCACAATTTTTTTTGAAACAAATATGACCAGAACCCACAAGCTACTTCAACATATATGCTCTCTATACACAGTAAATCTTTCATGTCTTTAGTTACAACTTAATTAATTAGATCATTTTAATAAATTGATTAATAAAATATAATGATCCTTACACATTTAATAATTTATTATATATATATATATATATACATATATATATATATATATAAGTAATAAAATAAAATATTAATAAAAGTGTGGATCTTTTAAAAATTTAATACTAAAATAAAAGTTATAAAAATTACAAAGAATTAAATAAAAAGTATGGTCTAATAGTTGTAGAAGATTTGATGATTGTTAAAATGAGCCTAGGAGCATGGTTTTGTAGCATAAACATTTCTTTATGTTTAGCTTTTGCGTTATATATGTATCTGGCTTCCTTCTCATCCATGTACATTGTGGATTTTGGTGCAATGAAAATGATGGTGGAGAGTTCCAATCACAATTCTATTCAAACTCAACTTTCTTTGGTAGAAAGCAATATATAGATAGAAAAAGAAAATAGAATAAAATTAAAATGAGGAAATAGATTTGATTTAACACAAGTACATCAGTATCGTATGAGTATTTTTTTAATTAAACTAAACAATATTAGCAGTTCAAACTTATAAATATATGAAATAAAATTTAAATCATGCAAAGGATATGTGGGGGTGCCAATAGAAAGAACCGATGGTCGAATCATGGGCCCTCGTTTCTGAATAGTTGGCCCAATAACTAAAGGCCTAATATGTTCAAATTTCAAACTTTAGTTTACTATCCGCGTCTTCTTTCCCAACGAACAAATTTACAAGTTTCAGTCCATTCGTATTCATTCTCATTTTCTTATTGTTCGAACCAGAAAATGCCGAAGCGTAGAACGAAGAAATCTGCAAAAGCACGCGAATCAATACCAGACTCTCAAATTCGGAAGCAACCACCTCAATTCATGGACCTCGAAATCCAAGGTTCACATTCACATTTCAATTTTAGTTTCCTTTTTTTGGATGTGTTTTGGGTTTAATTGAACTTCTGTGCAGAGATGGAGAGAGAAATTGGAACGATTAGGGCGCGTCGCGACGCGGATATCAAGCACTGGCTCACGGAACTGCGATTGTTGCGCTCGCGTTTCAGCAGCGAGGAGCTTCGGAAACCTGTGTTGCAGGTTTTTGAAGAAACCCTGCCTAATCTCTCTCTCGTGATCGACGAACGCAACAAGAATATAGAAGTGAAATGGAGAGAAAAAGAGGGTTGTAACGATGGAATGGATGTCCGCGCTTCTTTGTTCCAAGGATTCATTGCATCCATCTCTCGTTTTCCAGGCTTTGACTATTCTGCCAGTGCAGGTACTTTCGAATTTCGAAAATGTTTAAAACTTTCGCATTAGTTCTGCAATTGAGAAAATTAGAAAATTAGAGTCTTCTTCTGCGCTTCCTTAATTTAGTGGACTATGGGTTTGTTTCAATAAATTTATCCATAGATATTTGTAGAAGAGAAAAATGAAATTAAAGTTTCGTAAGCTTAAATTATCTTAGGCTCACTAATATACAGAAGCTATGAGAGGGCTTTTATATATATTAGTTGAGGATTTTGAGTCTCAATGCTATTGTCATTTATATCTTTGTTGTGCATTGTTGAGATTCAATGTTGTTAATGTCGGAAATCGTATTCTTCTTCCTTTCTACGAGTCTTCTTCATCTTTTGTTTCATTGTTATCACTAAAATTAATTTATATATATAGACTAATTTTAGATTATGAAGAAATTCATTTTTTTTCTCAATCTTTATTGTTACAAGTACTAATGAAGAAACTTATTCAAACACAACGTTTCAAGCTCTTTGGAATAAAAATGTGTTTCATCCTATCCATGCCTATACATAGTTGCAAAACCTGACATATTTTTATAATTGACAATTGACAATAGTTACTTCTTTGGTGGCAGGGAGAATGAGCTTTATTGGTGCTGATAACCTTCAATTCAAGGACAATGTATGTTTGTTCTCTTTTCACTTTATTTATTAGCTATTGTCATACACCTTTCGTAGGGTGCCTTGAATGCAGTGCGATTCTGAAAATATTACACAGAAGATGAATGTCGTGTTATTAATTCAAAAACATAAATCCTGACATAAAAGGAACATCTTCTCAATGTTTTCCTTGTTAGCACAGTGTTATTACTCTTCATTTGTAGTAGAGTATGTGTGAATAAACAGGGTTTAACTCCAAAATGGGTGCAATAGCGTTACTCGTGTTCATCCATCTTATGCATAAAGTGATTCGAAGAATTCTTCAATTTAAATGGATATTTTTTGGTCCTGTTTTGATCTAAATTTCTATTATTTATACAGGCTTTGGAGGAGTCATCTGACACCCACACTATAGCAGTACAGGAAGGTCTTCAGACTCCCGGGGTTCGTATCATCTTTCTTGCTACTTTATTATGTATTTATTTGTTTGTTTTATTATGAACTCTGGTTTGTTTGGCTAAGAAATAAGCATATCCATGTTCTCCTAAGTTTTAACAGCTGAATGAACTGGATCTAGATTAGTTTGAGTTAGTTTTTCTATGCATTGACATGGTCAACAACTCTTGAGTGTTGGATGAAGATTGGAATAATTAGAACATTTATTTGAGGTCTGAATTGTCTGATTTTCATCCAACTGTTATAGTAATTTTGTGATGTTTAGTTCTGAATTTAATTTGGCTCTGTAAGCATTTTGCAGGTGACAAGTCAAAGGTTTTCTATTGGGATGACACCCGGAACACTTAGAGTGCCCAAACCTGGCGAGATGCTTTTCTCTGTTCATCAATCACCTCTAGGTGTTTTCAAGGAAAATAATATGGAAGCCATACATGGTAAGACAAATGGTTGAATTGAAAGTTGAAACTGTTTTTCTGTATCATTTTCATGTATCTATTGTTTTCCATATTGTATGAAAACTGATGGTAAAGTGTTAAACCCTTTTTGTTCTGGTATATAGTTAGTGCCTTGAAATTCCATAGTACCCAACTTGTTGTCCCCTTGTTAAGTATGCATTATATTTTTCTAACAAATCCTTGCCTGATATCTATTCTGATGTGCAGAGTCAGAAGAGGGTTGAATGTTTTCTAATAAATCTGTTGTCCTCCAAGAACAAGCTCTGGAGGTTTTTACGTGTCTCATCAATGTAAATTATGGCCTGTTATTTATTTTTCAGTCAGCATTGCCTACTTCCAGTTTTGCCAACCACGACCAATTTAGAAGCTGGGTCTATCAGATTTTATTATTGTTCTGTTTTATTTTGTGTTATTTCAAGTTTCTTTCGGTTGTAAAACAGCTCTATATAGCTGTTTCAGTGTTGATTGAATCAAATGTACATTCAGTTGTCTTTCACGCTTCAGTTTTCTCCTATTTAACAGTATGATACCCTTGCGTCAGACCTCCTTTTCTTTTTTATATTTTACAATAAAATAATATAATTATTACATTTAAATAAAAAAAATTAGATATATATATATATATATATATATATATATATATATATATATATATAATATATATATATATGTATATATATATATATATATAATAAATTATTAAATGTGTAAGGATCATTATATTTTATTAATCAATTTATTAAAATGATCTAATTAATTAAGTTGTAACTAAAGACATGAAAGATTTACTGTGTATAGAGAGCATATATGTTGAAGTAGCTTGTGGGTTCTGGTCATATTTGTTTCAAAAAAATTGTGGAACTTCCAAAGCTCCCGGTTACTAGCTTTATATGTCACACACTGACAAAAATAAATCATTATTATTGGAATGGCTTCAGTGTTTGATGTACTAGTACATTAGATCTCTTGTATTTGCCACCTTTATCCATCTCAATAATCATCTTTGAAGTTTGTTCGGAGGAACAAAATTAGCAGGGAGGGGAGGCTGCATGGTACAAACCTAAGCAAGAACTTGATACTTACAGATGACCTACTAATGGAAGACATGAGCAGGGACCGAATCTAAGCCCCTTTGTCTGCGTTGTTCAATCCAGCATGTTAAGCAACCCTCATTGCGCACTTGATTGAAAGGTAAACCCTTTTAAACTTGCCTATCATGTCTTATCATCTTTTCATATTCTCACATACCACTCACCTATCATGTCTTATCTTTTTCATATTCTCACATACCACTCACCTAACTCTGAATCTTCATACTCAAGGTCTTGTACATCAAGGAAGCTCTGCCACAATTCGTTAGTTATCTAGCTTCTGGTTTCGTAGCTTCTATGTAGGCCAATAGTACTTTAAGCACTTTAATTATTACTTGCACTCTTCTCATATCTGCTATAATCATGCAAATCACAATGCATATTTTTTGTATAGATAATTCTGCAAATTGGAATTTCTTTGATGCTCTGTGGCTTAACAATTTGTTCTGCAATAGTAATATGCACAATCTTGTTCTAAACATCAGAAAATCTTGACAAAAACCG